AACACCATTTCTTCAAAGCATAAGTAATATTATCGTTCGGTTCGGTGGGCAAATTATATTCATATAAGGAAACACCGTTTTCTAGCATCAAATTTGCAAGCTCATAAGTTTCCGTGTAATATATCTCGGGTTTGAACAAGCATTGATACCCTTCTCTCATAGATGATCTTGGAATATCGAACATGCCGTCTGCATTATGTTTGCCGAGATATTGAGTCGGTAGCTACGCTCAATATATGAATCTTTTTGGCTTCTCGTTAGAATAAGTGGTGTATCTTGAACAATTACGAAGAACGGTAATAATTCATTCATTCAGGAACCTTGTTATCTTGTATCTATGTTTATGTGCATTCACCAGTCATTATCGTTCCACAAATTCAGGACTAAAAATGCTAACTTTAGGGTTTCTTGATCAGGGGAGGTTATCTCAGAGGAGTACTCCTTGGAGTATGGAACCGATAAGATTGAAATGCATGTGGGTGCTGTCCAGCCGGGTGAACGTGCTCTTGTTATAGACGATCTCATCGCCACTGGCGGCACCTTATGTGCTGCAATCCGACTACTCGGTATATGATTCATATATCTGTGATGATTCATGGAAAAACGGATAGTTTGCCTTCATGTTGTCTGATTTCTTCGATCATTGTTTTCCGACATGCTAGAAAAACTCAATCTTTTTGTGTTTGTTCTGTAGAACGTGTGGGAGTGAAGGTTGTTGAGTGTGCTTGCGTTATCGAGTTACCCGAGCTTAAGGTTTGGAATCTCTCTCGGGTTTTACCATCTGTATATGATCTACTGTTACAGTGTTTTCATGGTGTAATAAACCCGTATGAACTCTTTCTCTTGTTTATACGTTTCGAAGGGCCGGGAGAAACTAGGGGAGACGCCTCTGTTTATTCTCGTAAGCTCAACTGAACCCGAGAAGGAGACAGAAGCTTGAGAGAGGAGTCTTGGATGGAAGTGAAGACCCTTTTGCTCCATTGAATCAAAGTGTTGATGGTTTTTTTTATAATGTTCGGTAACACGTTTCTTTGCGTTCTGTTTAACATTCACGAGTACCCGATTAAGATTTACGTGGTTTGTGTTGCGACTCATCATCTATGGGCAAAACATGGTCGGAAATATGTCTTTGAGAGTTCCTTGATCCGTTGGTTTTTCGCAGTTTGTCAAAGTTCTGTTTCGTGTCCGATGTCTTAAAGTGTTGGAGTTTCGGATTTGTGCCACGAACTCAAAAGGGGTATCGGAAAAGCCCTTGGTTATGGGTGGCCTAGCTAGAGGCAAGGCGAGGCTGCGGGTTGCAAAAGAAACTAGGGTTAGTATTTTTTTTTTAATAAATTGGGGATTAGGGTTTCGACTTTGAGTCTTACCTCATTTTAGGCTCGTTTTCAAACGAGTCAAAAAAACTTCGGTTCAGTTCCATCTTCTAGTCTTTTGTCTTAAACTCACCTTCTCGAATTCACTCTATCGTGATATATGTGGATATTTGACCCCACGCAGCATTGCGTAAAAATCCGAAATACGAATATCTAATTTTCACGAGATCAAAAGCAAATAAAGATGAAAGTGAAAACCGGGATTATACACCACACCAAGTACTCATCCCCAATTTTGATAATATATAGCCCTTGATTGGAAGTGGTTTGGGAAGTTGTTAAAATCTAAAATCCAAAAAAAAAATGACAATTAAATTTTTATAAAATTAGTTTTTTTAAAAAAATTTGGGAAGCCACTTTCATAAAAAAAATCAACTAAAAAAACTAAAACTTTCTTTTTTTATTTACAAAAACCAAAATCTAAAATCCAAAAATCAAAAATCAAAAACCAAAAAC